GCTGAGATGAAAGTGGGTGACAAAATGCACTCGCTTTCCGAACACACACAAACACACACACACACACGCGCATGCAGACAGCCTCTCAACAATATGCGTTTTTGCTGGCTGTAGCAGCGCTATAGCTTTTAACTCCTTAACCGATCACCCACTGATGGGGCTATCGACAACTCTCTGTTCTGAGAGCTCCTCATGCTCATGAAAATCCTGGACTTTTAACTCCTTGGCATCCTGGATTTTTAACTCCTTTAACTCCCGTATCATATAGTCGAAGATAGACTGGTTCCTGCCGCTGGCTGGATCGAACTTATGATCTTTTACAAAGAGAACCGCTACATGCCATTAAATTAAGCCCGTCAGCTCTATCTCAGAAACGAAATCAATTTATTTCTTTTTTTAATTGCTGGATCCCACATTTTGTACTCACTGTGTACTATAAATGTCTTCATAAATTCACCCATAATTCCTCCTCCCAACGAAGGATGCAATTGCTGCAATTTGAAGCTACAATATATATCATTCTTGCCGTTAAAAAAGGGTGCTGAACGTGTTCAACATCCCAAGGAGATCGAAGAGGAACAAACAGAATAATAAATCGGATATATTAACCGAGTCATAACGAGAGAAACTGTCAGTATGTAAAACGATCCGAAAGCGCCTAATACCCGCTAGAAATGAGGGTCTCCGTGGCTTCGAAAAAACTGCTGGAGAAACACAAAGGGATAAAAACTCAGGCTGGAACGCACCGGGTGGGCCCGTGCAATCATGCGTTTTTGCGCCGGACTTGAAATACTCAGGTCATTAACTGCATGAATAGTTGTTGCTTTACACCTACCTCTTGTGGTTAGTAGCATAAATTACCATAAATCTTGCATAAAGTAAATGTGCAACTTCTATTTAACGGTCGTTCTTTAAAAGTAACCTAGCTCTTCAGTGAGAAATTTTTCCGCCAAAACTTTTAAGTGCCCGTACGTAAGAATCACGCACACCTCAAAACTGAATTTGAAATACTTAGGTTGTACTTGGACAAGAAACATCCTCGTAAAATTTCATTTTTCCAGCTTTTCTGGCCCCCGCGTTAGTAATTTTCCCACAGAAATTTTCATACGCCCCTACGTGAGTGCAAAGCAAAGCTTGGGGCTAAATTTGAAATGTTTGAGTTGTACTTGGACAGGGAACATTCCCTCAGAATTTCAGCCTTCCAGCTTTTCTGGTTACCGAGTTAGCAGTTTTCCCGCCAAACTTTCAAATGCCGTAGGTACTTCGCGTGTCTGAAAGGCTGGATTTGAAATTTCCAAATTGCACGTGGACAGGAAACATCCCCCTAAAATTTTAGCCTTCCAGCTTTTCCGGTTGCTGAGTTAGTAATTTTTCCGCAGAAACTTTCATACGCCCTTACTTGAGCACCACGCACACTTGGGGGCTGAATTTGAAGTCTTTAGCTAGTACATTCACAGGGAATATTCCTACAAAGTTTCAGCCCCTTAGCTTGTGTGGTTCCCGAGAGCCAAAGATTTGTATATTTTTTTTAAAGCGTCCGTACGCGGCACCCAGGGGTCAAAGGGGGGGGGGTATGAAATTAACATGGCAGGATCGCGCACAGTATGGGCACACACTCACAAAGTTTCAGCCTTCTAGCTTTTCTGGTTGTCGAGCTGAAAGTGGGTGATAAAACGTGCGAACACACAGACACACGCACATACACACACAGCTTCTTCCCAGTATGCGTTTTTGCAATTTGCATATATGCAAAAACGCATAATAAAAATAGCGGTGCGCACCAAAGTAGCCGATGTAATCATGCATTTTGCTCAGTTTCAACCAGCAGGCATTTGCTTGCTAAGGATCTTTGCTGCTTTACACTTCGCTCTGTGAAAAAATAGTCAATATGCTTTTTGGTTTCTAAGCTGCGAAATTTACCACTGGAAATTTCACATGCCAGTACGCGGGTGTGCGTGAAAGCTGAATTTGAAGGCTTGGATGTTTCCAAAATTTCAACCTCCTTTTTTGACTTCTGAGTGCCTTTCACGCCAGAAATTTCACGCAATTGTACGTAAGATCTCTTCATAATTGGAAGCTAATTTTGAATTTGTTGCGCCCTTGCAAAAGTAGAAAACATCCTTTCAGCCTTTCAGTTGTTTTTACTCCCGAAAAAAATAATTTTCCTGCCAAAACTTTTGGGGGTCATACGTAGTACCAGGGGGTGCATGAAAGCTGAATTTAGTTCAGCTGGGTTGCACGTGGGCGGGGAACATGCTACTAAAATTCCAACTTCCTCGGTTTCCTGGTTCCCGATTGAAAGTCCAGGATAAAACGCACTCGGAATACACACACAGGGTCTCGACAATAAGCGTTTTGTGTAATTACTGCAGCGAAAAACGCACAAAAATGTGAAGCACTAACTTCCTTCGTAGAAATGTGAGACGGAAGCCGACGGAGAATTTCGAAGACTACAGCTGACTGAGAAAGGTTCTTGCGATTTAAAAGATGTAAAGCTTGCAAAGATACAGGATGGGGCTGCTACACGACTTAAAAAGTAAATTACGGCAGGCAACAAATACTAACCGGAGACAAAAACGCCTGGAACAGAAGGCTCTGAGCAATTCACTCAAACACTCTCTTTTGTTCCGTTCTTTATTCATGCTCTATGTGGTCACGTTTTCTACAACATTCAAACTTCACGATGATGCCAGAGCATTCTTCGTGTTATATAAATTACTCAAACTAAGGGAAAGTAAAACTTTTAATAATTTCTTCTAGGCTAATCTAACCCGCACTTATAAGCAAGTATCCATCGCAATGAGCGGAATTTGAACACTAAAACCATAATAGAAAAAAATATTCCAAATAACGGGGAAGCGTATGTATCAAAAGCCGGAACAAATACATAGCTACTAAAAAATAAAAAACAAATTGTATGTGGAGAAAATTAGAAGTCATCAGAAAAAGGAAATACTGATAAGCTGATAAGCATGCTCCCGAGGAAACGCTGTGCATGAAAAAAGTAAAATTTCTTATAACATAATATTATGAGATGTAATGAGATGATGAAAGAGATGCGGAAGGCTTACTAATTCGGCCCTAAGGTTAAGCAATGCTCAGCTGCGGTCCACGTAGTAGTTGAGCAGTACTGTGTTTGGTCTAAATAATCCTGGAAGATATACCTAGTGGTAGGCTGCTCGAGACTGCGCACCGTACTGAACTAAGTAAATAGCGCGCCCGGTGCAAGACGCCTGGATTTCATGAATCCTGGCCTTCTACGATTAGGTCTAATGCCACTAACTTGGCTCGTCAACAGCTGCTATCTCTGACCCCCACTTTGGTATCCTAGATGTCAGTACACAAATCATTTACCTGTAGGCAGCCATCGAATTGCGTCACGAGGAGCGAATGAGTAACGTTGCTATGCTAGTGCTGCGAACGAATGAATGCTCCCTAATGAATACTGACTGACGGATGAATACTGCGGACCAATACTGCCGAAGATGTCGACGAGCTTCCGAATAACCTTGACGAAGACTGACTGAGTTGTTTGTCACTATCCCGCCGTTCGCCCCTTTTCACGGCGGAGTAATTTATGACTTCTCGTGTGCTCGGCGCACTGTTTACAACAACACCTGTGAGACGCTTACAGGAGATGCCTCGCAAGCAGCTTAGTCTGTTTACAAAGCTGGAGTAGGGGCTTTGGTCGTCATTAGTTGAGCTTTCGGCGGTAATACTATTTTGCTAGCGTTATAATTTTGTAAGCGGGATCTTAGAGAGAGATGTAGTCTATCTGACATATTAGGTATGTGCAGAGGACTTGCCGAAATTTTTTTACTAATGATAAGCAAATAGTTCTTATAGCCGAACTGACCAGAGAGCATTTGATAAGTGCTCAGATTCTTGATGATCCTCAGAGTATGATGTGATTTACAATAGCAGGTCAGAAAACAACACACACTAGATTCCTTTACATCGACAAACTTGAATGGCGGAGGAGCCGCAGATCGCCACTACAGTGGACCGATTTCCTGTTGCACATCCACAGTGAAATCGTCAAACAAAGGACAGATTTCATGACAGCACTTCGCAACCTCTTGGAAGACAAAGCCAAGTTGCTCAAAATTTTTTGGAAGAAGCTTGTAGCATGTGAACACAGCTGCACACCAGATACTACATTCCTTTCACCAACAGGAGAGATCCAATCAATTTGTGCTCCTTATGCGTAGCCGAACTAAACGTAGCATCTGGTATTTTGTCCGCCCGCTGTAAAGGAGAAATGTGCCAAACTTTGGAGGACAGTAAAAGCTACAACTGTGAACACTAAAGCGTACGACTGGTTACTTACACCGAGTCCACGGATCACTGATAAGCTGTGAATTTACATGCTTTAATTTTTAATGCTACGATCCGCTGATCCATTACGATGAATAAAATGACTGTGATTTGCCTTATGCCTTAAAAAAACTGATCCGTTTTTATGCGTTTTGTGCTGTGCAACAGCAGCATAAAACGCATACTGTCACGCGTCTGCCTCTGTGTGTTTGTGTGTCCGAGTGTATTTTGTCTTCCCATTTTAACTCGAGAACAAGAAAAGTTAAATGAAATTGTAGGAGAGTATTTACCGCCCAAGCGTAACGCCGCAGCCCTCACTTGCGTTTAATTCTTGCTTATGCTCAGTGAAATTTCTGGCGTCAAAATTAATAAATGGGGAGCCACAAAAGCTAGAAAGCTGGGATCTCAAGAGAAAGCCCTCTGCCCACGCGTGAGTCCGCATATTTAAATTCAGTCTTCACGCACGCTTAGCCCTTATGTGTTTTGGTGCTAACACCAATAACTCAGGAATTACGAAAGCTAGGAAGCCGAAATTTTACGGTCTTGGATAATGCGAAGATAGTGACAAAACTGTTATGCCAAGGACATCTTCTAACAATGTACGCAGGACAAAGTGTAGTTGGCAATACACTTTTTACGTGAATTGCTTCACAATGGAACAACTGCGCGAATCACTGCAGCCGTTTCTCTTCGGGCTCGCTGGAGTGATACTGCACCAGATGTTCGCCCTCGTATCTTTTCACTTCTTTAAACAGCAGCTCTGAAGGGTGTGAACGTTATTAGTAGCCGAAGTATAATTAAAAATCAAAGACAAGAAATGGAGTGAGCACTTCCTGGTCGTTCGTTAAGTCGTGCCCGCAGCAGCAATCTTCCAGCAGAAACAGCAAGCAATTTAGGATCGCACCCTCCTTCTCTTTTGCACTACACTGTTCAAGTCCAACACTGAGCATCCAGCACGACTAAAGCAATCCGCCTTCATATTATCCTCCCAAAAAGCGCGATTCTAGCACTTATAAGCAGTAAAAGTAGCTGGTTTGCGCCTCCACACTGTTCCAAAGCATGGGACAGCAACTGATTCGTCGTGTCTTATAGTTTTTACAGACTGTGAAAACGATTTTCTTTGTTTACAAAAGGCTGTAAGAAACTGAGTAAGTAACCTTTCCATTCATGTATTGGTCGCTCAATGAGGTCATTATTTGCGTCGTATCGATTTTCAGGTAATGGAGCATTCCATTCCGCATCAGTAAACCAAACGTTCACGTATGGGTGACGCACCGCTTCGTCAATACTGATTCTTTTCTCAGGATCCAACTCCAGCATTTTCGACAGCAAATCGCGAGCTGCCGATGCTGTAAAGCACACAGGAATTTTTAAATATAACGGAAAAAAAAACAGCTGAACTCACTTCCCTCATGGAGGGCTAACGCCTTCATCCACTTTGCGAAGGTTCCTGAAACTCATTAGCGGGGCGATTGAAAAACTTGTGCAGAAAACTAAAACGAAAATGGGCTTTTGTATCGATGACGAAATATTTATTACCACCGAAAACACTGTGCTTATGCGGAAAGCCCATAAGCGTTAGATATATATGTACTTACGTGATACCTTAGCCAACTGCAGTTTATAATGGCCTTCTCTAACTCTGCAGCTGGTATACCCTATCTCTCATGCCTTTCACAGCTTGCCTTGGAATGGTGTTTCATAAGTTTAATTGAAAAGGTAATCTCGATATTAGTGGCGAGAAGCTGAACCGCCTACGCTTCACGGGCAACATATTATTTATTGCAGATATTCTTCGCAAGATGAATAAAATGTTGCTTTGGCTTAAAACTGTGAAAAATTTTTTCAAAAGCGCTCTGAAAGGCTAACCACAGAGCTGCGGAGCCTTCGCAAAACTTCCAATAAAACATTCGTCGGGGAAGATTTCTTCAAACGGTATCGGATTGATGTGGCCTTTGCTTTTTACAAACATTTTCGTATGATGCTTCAACCTGTGAAAATTAACTTATCGAATCAAGTTTTGTGTGGATACCGTGAAGTATGAACTGCAGATTAATGGAAAAAGTAACCCACGTTAAAACACACCAGGCTTGCCGGTGGGGCCATGCGTTTTTGCGCTAAAATTGCAGCAGGAGTGGTTCCTGGCTATAGTTTAACACTTGGATTCATACCGGCTGTGTTTTGGGCTCCTTCCGCATACAGGAAGAGGCGTCGGCTGGGATGAAGGTATCGCATTATGGGTAGCATGGATCTCCAACGTGCATGATTATGAATTTTTTACATGAAGCCTGGTTGTTTTTCCGACGAATGCTCGTTCATTGAACCCAGGCTGGAATGCACCAGGCGAGCTGGTGCGAACATTTGTTTTTGCACCAACCTTGAATTAGATTAACTGCATGAATGGTTGTTTCTTTACACCTACCTTGTGAGCTCAATACCGTAAATCATCGTAAATTTTGCATAAACGCAAATAAACAATTTCCGTCTAATGGTCGTCTTTTGAAAAGACCCAGTTGTAGAATGAGAAATGTCTCCGCTAAAAATTTAAGTGCCCATACACGAGAACGACGCGTACCTGGAGGTTGAATTTGAAACCTTTAGGTTGTATTTGGACGGGGAATATTCTTCTAAAATCTCAGTTTTCCAGCTCTTCTGGTTCCCGAATTAGCAATTTTCCGGCCAAAACTTTCACAGGGCCGCACGTGACCTGGGGGCAAACCTGGGGGCTGGGTTTAAAGTCTTTGAGTTGTACATTAACTGTGAACATCTCCTTAAAATTTCAGTCTCTCAGCTTTTCTGGTTCCCAAGTTCGCCGTTTGCCTTTTAAAAAATTTCACGTGGCAGTACGAAAGAACCACGCACGTCTGGGGACTGAATTTGTTAACTTTAAGTTGTATATGGCTGGGAATATCCCCTGAAAATTTCAACTCCCAGCTTTCCTCTTTCCCGAGTTAGCAATTCCTCCCGTCAAAAATTTTCACGGAGCCATGCGTGAGAATCACGCATGCCTGGTAGGTGAATTTGATAGCTTTGAGTTGTGCATGGGAGAAGAACATCCCCTTAAAATTTCATCCCCTTAGCTTTTGTAAATATTGTTCATTTATTTTCAGTTTCTTAAACAACAAATCCATTTTTCAAATTTCTTTTCTTCCCTTTTATCTTTTTTTCCCATCCTTACCGTAACCCACCCCTATACCCTCCATGGGATTTCGCATACCTACAAAAGTCAGTGCTGACATGTTTTTGTACGATAATTAATGTATGTTTATGTCCGACACGGCTGGATACAAATGGGTTAAATATGGCGGGTGTTCTTGTCATCTGTCTTTTTTTCGTCTGAGCTTCTTGCTAGGATCTACACTATCGGGGCTGTGGAATTCGGGAATTTTCTGGTTGGATTCAACTGGGTTGAGAAATCGTCTCACAATATTTGATCTGGGCTTCGACCTTCTAATACATGTTTCCCCAAGCGACTCAAAGTCTGTCAACTTCAGAGGTTCTCGGCCAGGTTTCTTCAATTGTGTAAGTGCTTATGTTATCTTTTCATTCTTTAAATTAGATTACTTTACATGATAAAGGCTAAGCTATTCCTTCTTCTTGCCTAGTCACAACGGCAACGTAATACCTCACAACCACCCATCAAAAACATTTATTTTTCCTCGTTCCTAAGTTAGCGACTTTCATGCCAGGAACCCTCACAAGCCGCACGCGGGAATCACGCGCACCTGGGAGCTGAATCTGAAATTTTTGAGTTATATGTGGACGGGCAACATAACCTCAGAATTTCATCTTTCTATCTTTTCTTGTTGCCGAGTTGGCGATTTTTCCGCTAAAATTTTCACTCTCTCGTACGCTGGGCCTAGACTTGCATGAGGGATGATACCGCAGTCCTGAGGTGGCACTTGGCCGGAGGACCCACTAGCAAAATCTTAGCGGTGGAACCTGCTTGGTTGCCGAGTTGAAATACCCGGACAGACGAACACACACACACACACACAAATAAATACACAGACAGGGTCGTCGCAAGACGCGTTTTTGCAATTTGCATACAGGCAAAAACGCATAAAAAATGCAAATTTGACGGAGATTATGAAATCTGCAAAATGCACTCGTTTTTGTACATTTTTGCTGTGCGGCACTATAGCACTGCTACAGCCAGCAAAAACCATATTGTCGGGAGGTTGTTTGTGTGTTTGTTTGGAAACGAGCGCATTTTTTCATCCACTTTCATCTCAGCAGCCAGGAAAGCTGGGAGACTGAAATTTTGGGTATATGTTCCTACTCCGTGTGTCATCCTTCCGTTTTGAGATCTCCCCCCACACGCGCCCAGAACTCGCTTGCGGACCCCCGGAAAAAATATTCAAATATCTTTGGTAGGGGACGATCTCGCGAACCGGGCAAGGTAAAAAGCTAAAACTTTGCAAAGATACTTTCTGTGCATGTGCGAGTTAAAAGTCTCAAATTCAGCTGTCACACACGCTTGTGCAGTGTGTAAGGCCACGTCAAAGTCTGCGACTTAATACAGTGCTAACTCGAAAACTTGCCAGAAAATAATGGCTAAAATTTTGTCAGCATATTTTTCGCCCATATGCGAAATCGTATACCTAAAGTGAGCAACGAGTTGCACTTGCGCCACGATTTAGAGCACTTTAAAGATACTTGTAGCGAAGTGGATATTTCGCTTACCTGACAAAGTGCGAGGCTGAAAATTCGCTGGAATATTCTACTTTCAACTACGGTCTTAATTCTGCTTGGAGGTGAAAGTCCCTGCAGGTAGGCGTGAGAAGTACTCAACTTTACCGAAAAAACAGAAACGAGTGCATTTTACAGCGAACGGCTGCCCGCATCCAAATATGCAAATGAACGCTCAGTTCATATGCATACTCGAATTTTTTTGACAAACGACCTCTCTAGCAACACTTCCACTTTTTAGTAGACTGGAAATTTGCATCTCTTCAAAAAATTTGCATTTTCCATTTTTTCAAAAAGCGAGCATTTACCGATAAAACGACGGGGCTTCATGAAAAAAAACTGGTAATCATGTACCAGGGCGCCCGTGCGGCTCTATAATGCACTACCTTCACCGCAACCGACGCCCTTCCTCCTGCATGCCGGAAAGGGCCAAAGCACGGCCAATATGAGTTTAGGCTACAGCGCAGGGGTCATTCCTATTATTAGCGACCTGCAAGTTTAGTGCATAAACGCATGATCTCACCGGCAAGCCTGGTGCGTTTCAGTCTGAGTTGAGTTTGCAATAAAATTGACTATTTGTCATGTCTGCGTGTAAAGAATTTCACCTCCAAGCTGAATTATGGCCACACATGCAGATAGAATACCTCTGCAAAGTTTCAGTTTCCTATCTTGTTTGGTTCACAGAATCGTTCCCGCCGAAGAAATTTGCACATTCTTTCGGGAGACTATGCGCAAGATCTAGATGAATAAGAGCGAAGATTTTAAAATGGGAGGATGAAACATGGGATAGGAATATGGCCCCAAAATTTCAAACTCCCAGCTTTGCTGGTTGTTGGAAGGAAAGCGCTTGACAAAGTTCACTTGCTTCCTAACATACACACATACATACACAGACGGCCTCTCAACAATATGCGTTTTTGCTCACTGTAGCAGCACTATAGCGCTGCACAGCAAAAATGCATAAAAAGTGACAGTGCTGACTTGCCAGTAAAATCTTTGCTCGGAGTTCCAAGGATTTCAGTGATCTTATTCCACTGGTCGATTCGATCTGTTCCAGGAAATAATATTCTCCTGAGGATCATCTCTGCCAAAATGCATCCAATAGCCCAAACATCCACTGCAAATCCCATCACCCAAGTTCAGATTTGGAACTTTTCAACAAAAAACATCCCAAATCAAGAAAACACGGCTGGAAATAAAGTAGCTGAGGCAGCTGTATTCTACGTGCAAAAAATTTTCTCCAGCAAAAGGAATCCAAACGGTCTCGCAGATACAGATGCTTAAAACCGAACTGTCAAAGGCTGATGAAGTTTTATTTAAAAAAAAAACCCAGGCTGGAACGCACTTTTCGTTCATTTCCTTTATGCAAAAAAAAAAAAAAATTGAAGATGATTCATGCTAGTGAAAGCACAAGGTAGGTATAAAGTAACCCAGGCTGGAATGCACCAGACTTGCCGATGCGACCATACGTTTTTGCACCAGATTTGAAGTACATAGATATTGTTGCTTTACACCTACCTTTCGCGCTCCCTAACGTTAATCATCGCATATTCTGCATAAACAAAATGAACAATTTCCGTTTAACGGTTGTTCTTTGAAAATTACCAGCTATTCAGTGAGCAATCTTCCCGCCAAAACTTCTAAGTGCCCATACGCGAGAGCCATACTTGAGAGCTGGAAGATGAGTGTGAAATGTTTAAGTTGTACTTGGACAGGGAACACTGCCCTAAAATTTCAACTTTCTAGTTTTATGGTTCCCGAGTTAGTAATTTTCCCGTCAAAACTTCCAAATGCCAATACGAGGTTACCATGCGTATCGAGAAGCTGAATTTGAAATCTTTAAGTTGTACGTAGACGGGAAATATATCCTTAACATTTCAGCCTTCCAGCTCTTCTGGTTGCCGAGTAAGAAATTTTCTCAACAAAACTTTCACATGCCCCTACGCGAGAACCACGAACACCTAGGGCTGAATTTGAAATCTTTAAGTCATACGCAGACGGGGAACATCACCCTGAAATTTCAGCTTCCAGCTCTTCTGATTACAGAATTAGCTATTTTTTCGTCAAACCTTTCGCGTTCCATACGTGAGAACCACGAATAACTGCGAGCTGAATTTAAAATCTTTAGCTCATACATGCACGAAAAATATCCCTGCAGAGTTTCAGCTTTTTATCTTGTCTAGTTCCCGAGATTACCTCCCCGCCAAAAAATTTAAAATTTTCGAGGCGTCCGTACCTGGAACGCAGGCACACGAGGATGATTATACCGAAACGGGAGGG